TTTTGAATTTGTTGTTCGTTCTGTGTCTGGAGTTATGTGAGAGAAGGAGGACTAAGCTATATTTCACTCCCTCAAATACTTCTTTTGAAAACCTTCCTTAGTTTTATTTTGCCTCTATAGTTTCTCTAATTAACTGTTTCTCGAAATCGAAATCACCTGGCAGTCAATCAACCAGTCAGTTCCCCTAACTTCCATTTTTAGGCTATTGTCTGATCACTCCTATAGCAATTTATTTTCGAACGTGGCGTGCTGTTCAGTTCATCACCTCATTCCCAACGTTACTATTCGGTCTAGTGATGCTCATGTAAGTTTCTACTTAACTAAACTTTCCTGAATTCAGATAGTTTTGGGGCCTTCCACTCGGGTCTCTTGTCGCTGTTCTGCTTAATGTGCAGGGGGGGGGTATACTGTTCTTTCGCTGGCTCCTTTTACATGTTCATCTTGACTAACAGGTCTCACCAAAATGAGGTTATCAACAGGTCTCACTAAAGTTTACAGGTTAACTTTAGTGGGGCCTGTGCAATCCCGTTAAGCTGCTGATGTAGCATAAGTGAGCCACTTTAATAGAGGAGTTAACAGCTGCAGTGGCGTTGAAGCAGAAGATTTATTAGAGAATACCAATAGAAGACGAATAGAAGACGAACTGATTAGTAAGAAATCGGCGCCTTTTTATACTGGTAGGCCCTGGTCAAACATGCTAGTCAAAACCCAGAAGTAAAGATCAAATAGTACAATTTGGGCGCCTAAATGCGATCACTTTTTGACAGTGGGTGGTCACCCTACTGCAAATCCCCTTTCCTTAAGCCTCCACGAGATGACCTGTAAAAGCTTCGTTGAGTACCACTCGATCCCCTCCACACACCCGCCTTCTCCCACCGAGCCGAACTATTCCGGTTATTCTAACAATTTGCAGTAAGAAAGATGTGACTTGGGCAATCAGTCCAGGGTCTGGAGGCGGCCCGACGACGGGCTAATTTCCTGTTTTTAGAGTCCGCTCTTTCGAATAGACCTTCATAACTGGGCTGTTTATGAACTCCTTTCTCAATACTTGTTTCAGACTCCTCCCCGAAAGTCTCGGATTTTTGGTCACAAAGAGGAGAGCGGTAGAGGCCAAGAAATGGATCCGGCGGGCGAACGGATGGGGTGGAAGCAAGTTTGATTGCGATGTTATGAAAATTATAGAAAATGAGACCGTTCGGGTGCCACAAGAGACGAATCTTCGAGAAAGTCTACGTGAGTCACTGCGTAATTATCAGAGTTGAATTATGTATATACCGTATCATCGATGGGAATAATGTGGCAACCGGGCGCTGACACATCTGAGGGGCGGTGGATTTGGCGCGGCGCCAGTCTGTCCTCCACTAATTGTGCAACAGGCAGACGATCACAGTTGGTGGAGAACAGAATCGGCACAGCACCAAACCAGTCATCTGAAACGCCCCAGAGTCTGCAGCGAACGAGATACGGTAGATCATCACTGGTCAGCGACTGAGAGCTCCTTCACTGGAAATGGCGCCGTAAGGTGCTCGATCAAGTGCACGAGAAACTTTCGCTGTGGATGCCCGGGCGTGCCAGAGCGGGTGGAAGGAATTGGCGCGTTGCCTGCACCTTTTCCACAACTTTTTGTCGCTTTTCGACGATTACAGAAGAGATCCACCATCCCCCCTCCGCCCCGATAGATCCCAGCATCTGCAACGAACAGGATCGTATTAACCCAATACGCCCAGTCGATTTAATGTGCCCACTCAGTCAACACAAAACGAAGTGTTTTGGTGCAGTTTGACGACGGGGGGGGGGCATTTTACACTCTCGACGTGTCGACCTATCTAGGCAGCCTCTTCTCGAGTTGACAGGTTTTACCATGATGGCTAGATGAGCTTGCTCCAGCTTCACAAGAGTTCACAGGTTTCGCCAGAGTGAGACTTGTAAACCGGAACTAGGGAAGCAATGATAGTACAAAATGCCCCCCCCCGTCGTCAAACAGCGCAGCATTTTCATTGTTTCCTTTGCATTCCACTACACCCTTTACTTTCACAGCGACATGGTTATCGTGAAACGTTTCAGATCACGTTTTTCATGATCGGAAACTCGTGCGTTACATGGGAATTCAGACAATTCTGTGGTAAGCTACTATAGGCACCAGGCTACTTTTCATTATTTCCAAGTAACTGTCTTCTATACAGGGTCGTCGATTTTATGGTCTACAATTCCCTTTCATTGACAGCTACAGATGCAAGTGACTTGTCATTCTCTGATTTTTACATCGAATTGCAGTATTCTACAAGTTTCAGGTAATCAAAGGCAGTGCTGACATGTCGTTCTTGTTCTCGGGTCTTGTGGAACTTCCTTGCTACTTTCTAATGCCAGTGGCTCTCGATCGGTAGGTTTACAACAACTGATATATCATTCAACGTAGAATCTATTGTAGGATAAAAAGGCAGCTATTCACTGCTGTTTCACCATTTCTGAGATGCGCCATCCAAGATGATTAGCAATACAGGGGGCAAAAAAAGTCACTTCGACCGAGTCACATATCAGCAAAGTTTTCGCAGCCCAGACAGAGGACGTGGATACGAGTACCAGGGCGGAAGATACCGATGTTCCTCGATAAGCAGGAGCTGGCTCTCGCCCATCACCTTCATGTACACCAAAATATGAAGTCATCTCCAGTCGCAGCCTGACTGGAGAAGGCCTTTGGAATTCACGTCACCTCCAAACAGCTGCGAACTTCTTGAATGGAGTCACCCATGGATAGCTACCTGGAGACCAGTACTCTTGATCTGGAAGACCTCCAACATCGAGCAGCTCCGACAACGTCGCCACGGTCCAGGACATCATCTTCACCGCAGTCGCCAAGGCGCGGGTTGATGGTATGGACCGGAGGTTCCTGGAATGGAAGACCGATATCTTCGTGGACCCCGGACTGAAGGTGAGCGCTGACGGTTACATCGACCAACTCGTGGAGAATATCCTGCCTTCATGTCATCGCCTGTACCTTCTTGGAGATGCTACAGGATTGGGTGCCTCCACACGGAATCAAAGGGCGTCCACTTGGAATGGAAGGGCGTTGTGGACCTAAAGAAGATGGAATATCTAAGCAGGTCACCTGCCCTGAACCCCCTCGTAGAGTGTCCACCTTGCCTAAACCCCCTTTAATTACCCGAGTTGGGGAGCCTCTAACAGGGTGGTCCTAGCAGGTGGCGAGAAATCACTGATGTTATTGCGCTGACTCAGACCCGAAGCATGGTTGCGTGCAAATCCCTCGATGCTCTTGGTCCAGAGGCTGGGACGGAGCATCATGAAAGTATACAATATGCTGTGGAAATGGTCGTGGATATGTCCAATCAAAATTCAATTAAGTGTAACTTATAGCGCCATGAAGTCAAGGAAGAAAAGTGACTTTTTTTGCCCCCTCTGTACAGCAAGTTTTCTCATGGCGCGGCAAAGGGATGTGACCATTGACGGCCTAAACAGCGGCCCCCCATTACCCAGATAAGCAGTTGGAACAGGGTACAGCATCGTTGTGTGGAATCACGTAGAGGGGGGGGGGAGGGGTGAGGGGTCGCACTTTGCCGTTTGGGGAGGGCGCGTCAGTTATTGTGCATGGTTGGAAGGGAGCGTCGCATGTGGCTATTGTAAGGATCTAAGTTTGCGCGTGTTTTTTGACGCTTTCGCGTTGGTTTCCGTGTCTGTTTGTATGTGGCCTATGACACACTTTATCCGCGGTAGGACCGGAAATTCTCTCAGATAAAACCATGGAATGTGGGGGACATTGGTAAATAGGGGGGAGGGAATGCTTCCTTGATATGCGTTAGTTTGCAATATGGTTGCACCAACGACATGCAAGTGACACGCTCCATAAACCACTGAGCCATTTCATCTGTTGAATATACCGAAATAATCGAAAATGGCCGTTCAGACTCGGGAGAAGACCTACAGTGATCATTAGTCATCTACTCTCTGCGGCCTCACTGTTGATCATAGTGCTGCGCTTGAGTGCAGGTGAGAGTTTTCAACTAAAATCTCCCTTATTTTGTCACCTCCTGTGCCCAACGATTTTGCTCTCTTCTTTTTTATATGAATATTCAGATTTTCATCCGACAATCTACCTATGCATCTGGCTCATTGCCAAATTCGGAATGGCCAGCGCTTTCATGTGCTGTTTCGTGTATGGCGCAGAAAATTTTCCCCGTTCAATATCGAAACATTTGCTTAGGATTCTGTGCTACTCTGAGCAACATTGGGGCCATGATGTCACCTCACTGCAATATACTGGTTAGTTTGACTCTGAATCTCTTCGTGTCTGCCAGCGCCCAGTATTTTTCAGGGGGCAGGTATTTGGCAATGCTGAGGATTGATTTACTTCTTGAACTGTTTGTGCTGAAGGCCTTTAAGCTACCAATGCTCCACGGGTAATCGTTGGCCCGCTGCAACTGCTTATCCAACTACTGGATACGATAGAATCAATAAGTACATCGGCCCACGCATTAGCGACGGACCGCAGCGCGTCGGTAGCGCTGCTCCCAAACCGCGACGGTGATGCGGTCTGCAGAAGATTCGCGACCGAAATGGCTCGGGTTGCGATGGATGGGAAACTCTCTCCCCAGTACGGATAGCGTGGCCCTAATATCTTGGTTCTGAGAGGTTCATGGTCCTGAGCTGCACTGGGGTCTCGATGGTGATGGTTCAGATCCAAGATGACCCAAGATTCGACTGGCTGTTAACCCCTCGTGAGGTCAACAGGTTCGAATGGCCTGCATGGGTGAAGAGCTGGGCGAAAGGAGGTGTTAATTTACAGCAAATATCCTAAGCAGAAAAGGATCAGATTCAATAAGGTAGACCTTCGCGATGGAACAAGCATGCACTTGGTACGGTGCGATTGGTGACCATTGGTGACCGAAAGTGTGCTAGTTGACGTGTCCGTGAGGAAAAAATGAGAAGAAATCGTCGAAAACGCTCCAAATAAGGCACCTACTTTTGCTCGAGCGAGAGACAAAGAAATCGAGCGATAGACCAGAGAAAGTAGTGAGAGAGCCATGATATCCAACCAGACAGCAGGTAAGTACATCTATCAAAAAAGGCGGAAGTCACTGACTTTTTGGCGAAGTCACTTGAAGAACCTTGGGCTTTAGTGCGGCTACCTTACCGCGTTCTGACGTAAAACGTGAAACGAGGTTATTCGCTGCAGTCCACACTACTTTCCCTATGAACAGCTTATGCCGTTGTGAGTGACCGTTGGCGAGTCAGCGCTGGACACTGATTCATGAGAGTGGAGATTTCACTTCTAGAATAGAATTTTTCAGGATGGCATTTTCAACGGGATGATGTTTGCCACATTCGCTGGTTTATGTGCATTTTGTGGCTTTATCACGACATTCCTCCCGGAGACGAAGAATTCCCACCAGAATTACCACTGAAATAATTATTAATTGGATGGAAATCTCTTTGGATCTAGTCAGGAAGCTGTGATACGGAGATTTATCCAAGGAGCTCTAATGTGGAGGATCCTGCAAGAAAATCAGTGGTTTCTGTAGTCATGTACATAGTTACGGGTTCTTGTGTACTTGTTTGTTTGAAAACAAATAAATTTTGGTGCCTTTACGCTCCGTGTGTTGTTTTCGTTACATTTACATTCTCTGAGTTTTTTTCTATTTCACTGCAGATGATTGTGAGGCTATTGCCTTGTGACAGGGTAATAAAGAAGTTTTTGAAACACAGTTTCTCAGCAGCGGAGCAAAGAGAAGCATTCTCGAGAACAATCGCTATTTTCCAAGGGATTCTAGATGTCGGATCTCGCCAGGATCCCCAAAAGGCGAAACGGCACAGTTCGGCTAGCGAGGAGAGAGCGTTTCGCGGTTTCTCTGTTTCCAATTGTTTTGTGGAGTCACCAAGCAGAATTGTGAAATCAATCATTGAGCAACGAACACGGCAATGGGAAGCAGCGGAGAGTAAAATGCCCCCCCCCCCTTCATGTCGCAGAAATGTGACTCTTTTCCTAATAGAAGGAATCAAGGTCTATGGTTAATGGTGCCGACCTCATTCCCGCTCGACGGCAGTTCAGCCTCTGCTTAAAAACCGGAAAATGTGGTAGGAAGTTGGGAAAATTTAGAAAGAGGGTAAGTATGTAGGACAGAGTTTTTATTCTATTTATTTATTCCAGTGGCGTCATTCACGGTATCACCTGTATCACCTGTGCTCCCGTTGATCATCGAGTTCCTCGAGCGGGCGCCAGTAACGTCTCCATTCGTCCCTGCAACGTGCAAGAGTTGCCCAATGAACTCTCTCTCGAGGGACATGAACTTCATACCATTCGTTCAGAGCTTTCACGAAGAAGTCTGACCATCGCATAGGCGGTCGTCCAGGCGTTCGCTTGACATCCCGTGGAATCCAGTCGGTGATCGCTCTGGTCCAGCGGTCGTCCTCGAAACGCATGACGTGTCCGGCCCACCTGATCTTCGAAACCTTGGCAAAGCGGCGGCGTGCCTCTGATCTTCGATCGTTGGCGGAGTGCGGAGCTCCGGATTCCCTCTCTCACTTGCGTGTAGCGGGAAACTCCGAGCATCGCCCTTTCGATGGCGCGTTGAATAACGCCGACCGCATGCTGATCCTGCTTTTTAAGAATCCAAGTCTCTGAGGCGTACGTCAAGGCAGGAAGGGCCGTGAATCGAAGAGTTGAGCACGGAGCTCGCGTTCTTCGTCTTCTTCGCCGAAGTTTCCTACTCCTAATAATCTGACTCCAGGGCTACCAGGCTAAAAGATCGCTTATCATAAAGTAACTTGCAGGTATATACAGGGGGGCCAAAAAAAAGTCATTTTGCCTCCATGACTTTCAAGGCGCTATAAGTTACACTTTATTAAATTTTTATCGGACATTTTTACTACCATATTAAAGAGCACATTAAATACTATAATGATACTCCGCCACAGCCTTCTGGAGGAGCGCCATCGAGAGATTCGGCCGCGCGAAAGTGAGTGGGTACCGGAGTTGAGCGAGATCGTTGATTTCTCCGCCACCGTAGACCACCCTCTTGAAGTCCGCCCGAACTAGGTAATTGAGTGGGTTCAGGTCAGGGGACATACTTCAATATTACATCTTCTTCAGGTACGAAACGCCCTTCCATTCGAAGTAGGCGGGAGTTTTTCCAAAACCCTTTGATTCCATGTGGTGGCACCCAAACCTGTAGCAGCACAAGGTCTCCAAGAAGGTACGGGCGACCACATGTAGGGAGGATATTCTTCTCGAGTTACTTGATGTAACCGCCAGCGCTCACCTTCAGTCGGGGTCTACAAAGAAAATATCGGTCTTCCCCTTTCCAGGTACCCCGGTCCATACCATCAACTCGCGCCTCGGCGAATACGGTGAAGATGATGTCCTAGACCGTAGCGACGTTGCCGTAGCTGGTCGATGTGGGAGGTCTTGCAGATCAAGAGTACTGACCTCCAGGTAGCTATCTGTGGATGACTTCATTCAAGAAGTTTCGCAGCTGTTTGGAGGCGACGTGAATTCCAAAGGTGTTCTCCAGTCAGGCCGCGACTGGAGATGACTTCATATTTTGGCGTACATGAAGGCGATTGGCGGCAGCGTGCTCCAGCTTATAGAGGAAGATCTTGGGTATCTTCCACTCTGGTACTCATATCCACTTCCCCTGTCTGGGCTGCGAAAACTTCGTTGATATGTGGCTCGGCCGAAATGACTTTTTTTTGGCCCCCCTGTATATTAGTTTTGTCGACAATCAGTAGCATTCATCAGTATTTACAAAAAAGAAAGAAACAATAGGGCTAGACATTCACTACAACTCCGTGGAAATAAAAAGAGCTAAGCAATGTGAGCGTGAACTATTGAGAAAGCGCTCTCTAGGCGCCTAGATGGCCGTATGTATTGCTCGAAAATCCCAGAGATCGCGGTAGGGGACTGCATGCTTTTACTTAACCTGAAGGAGTTTATGCTTCTGGTGAGATATTTTCATCTTGACACAATTGTTGTCGTGCCTCTGTCCAGCACAGAACAAGATGACAGTTGTTCACGTTTTGGAATATCCATCTGAGACCAGCTTCCGTGCCATGTTCAATATGCACGCCCACTCTGGCTCAGGGATAAGGAGTGTAGCTGCGGACAACCGCGGAAAGAGAAAGGAAAAGAGAGAGAAAAATTACACGACGCACCGACCATTTGTTGACCAAAGCGGATAAAACGATTGATGGTAAGGTAAGCGTTGATTGCTTAGCCATGACATGGGCACCTGGGCATTGACGTGTCAAACCCGGAACCAAGCGGATGTTAGGTATTTCTAGCTACCTAAATAATCTGAGTCCAGGCGGACCAGGCTCGTAAAAAAGATTAGTAAAAAAATCTCTTTGAAACTGAGATTAATGAACTATGTTGTAAAATCTAATAAATGAGAATTATTGGGGGGGTCGAAGCAAAGAGATAGCTCAGCTTCCGTTTCGCACGTGCCCTTAGACGGAAGCCGAGCAAAAGCATATTCCTCCTTCCGTGCTCTTCAGTAAGGAAAGGAAGAAAAAAATCAATTACAGCAAGCTTATAAGGAATAAGTTGTAACCGATAAATACTGAGAGGTTTAGAATTTGCTATTTAATACGGATAACGTGAGAGACGCGTATTACGAAAAACAGGCTATCAGTTGATGTTACATTATAATATCCGAAAATACTACACGACACATGCAGGTAAAAAATGTGTTACATAGACACCAATTTAAACGAAAAAGCCACTGAGAATACCTCGGACTAATCTGCTTATGCTACCGTAATCATTCATAATAGAGTATTTGTAACATATAAGTTTATTTCTATAAATACTCTTCACTGTACTAGCTATAAAGGAGTCCTCACTGTAACCATTGCTATAAAGCATTCTTACCATATCCGATATCCTTCCTATAAACGTATCAAAACAAGTACAGGTGTTGGCTATCCTAAGGGTTTCTGTGTATATAACGGAAGCCTTGTTGTTAGTGGAGATATTTGAATCACTGTCATCATCACTGAAACATCTAAGTCAGACAGTTGGTGAGGACTGTATGTTGTGGATCTAGACAAAATTTCAATTTGTCCAAAGACCATGCGGGAGAGCCTGATCATTCAAAACAAAATAGTATGCCCCAAGCTACAGGTGTAATTGAATATCAGCAAAAAAAGCACAAATAACATGGGTAAAGAGAAGAATAGCCAATGGTCAAGAAAATCCACTCATAAACAGTAGAAGGGGTGTCATGCTAATCGGATGTACATAGTATTATTCACTGCAAGACGCTCAATGGTTGATTTGAGGCAGTTTTGAATCCAAAAAACAAAAAACGAATGCGAATTTCCTGGCGAAAAAAGTTTTCACTCATTTCAATTTCCAGAAGCACAATAACTCTCTGTAACTACATACCCCGAAAGCAAGAAGTGTGCCGTCGACCAAGATAGAGCTTATAGGGCTGGCCCCCAGTAACGCCGACAAGGGGGGGGGGACAAACGGAACATGGAGTTCTAGTTCAACTTTACCAGTATCTTTTATACAAAACTTCGTTGGGGTAGCCAATTCTAACGTTGTTTTAGAGATGAGGGCTTCGAGTAAGCTAAACCGTTCCCATACAACAGTCTCGAAAAATACCTTTCCTCGCAAGAATGCGGTTCATAAAGCGTCTTTGAACCAACTCAATCCAAATCGGGAGTTTCATCAGATGAGCAAATGTTTCGGTGCAAATCGTAGATATGAAGCTGACATTTCACACATTATTGGTTCGGTACACCTATGATGGAAGTACGACCCTTGTTGTTTCTGATCACGCCCCCCCTCCTCACATCATTCAACCCGGATGATATTTGATGGATACGAGAGACAAAGGATAAGTTCAGTACGTATGGCGTTACCTCTCTAATGAACCGTATTAATCTTTCCTTCGGGATTTAGTTCGCGACTACGATGATACATTTCTCTGATGAGTTCACGCTACGATACGCAACCGTAAATCATGCGTCTGTTAGGCCAAGGTATGTTAGTATACTCGTTTATGTATCATTTCTAGCACTGCTGACATTTCAAGTCGTGAAAAATTTGCTATTCATTTTGTTCTACTATTACTCTTTTTTCACTTCTTATCTTTTTGTGTTCCAAACAAGAGTCTTACAAGGGTATGAATGGCCCTGAAACATCGGGGAGGCTTCGAAATACCTCTTTTGGAAGGCTTGAAGCTCTGAAACTTTCTAGAGAAATTGAAATAAGCTAAGATTTGCCAAGGGTTCTCAACTGCCTCTTATTTATGGGACAGACGGCGTTAAATTACTTCCGCTTTTAAGGGCATCAGAACAAAAAATTCATGATTACCTTGAGCGTGTTTTACTCAGTTGTACTACTTCTGTTTGCTGCGCTTTGTATGACTGGATGGAAGGACGTTCTGACATCTAGGAGATTCG